ACCAAAAGAACATTTAAATTATGTAAAAATGAACTCCAGTGATTTAAATCCATTAACCTTACATAATAACGTTTCAAACATAGTACTAAAATTTTAAGAGTTTGAACTCATAAGAGAGAAATTCTAACAATGTTTGCAGGGAAAAGTTGAAGAATAATCATTTATCATCCTCGAGTACATTTAGAAAGTTGAATGGGGGGGCGGGCAAGTGTAGCCAAGCCTTTATCAATGATGACAGTAATGAATGACGATAGTTACTTAACAAATGTTTAATGAGTGCTTGCTACGTGCCAAGTATCATTTGGAACGCTGAGGATACAGCAGTGAACAAATGCGTATGAATATTGATGATACTGAGGATGTTTATTGAGCCCTTACTATAGGCCAGGCCCTGAGCTAAGCGCTCTGCGTAGACTGGTTCATTCATTCCACTTTCACCAAAACTCTTGAGGTACTATTATATAATTCCCATTTTAAAGATGCAGAAAATAAGCTTCCTGGAACTTCCCTGGTGGCACACTGGTTAAGAATCCACCTGCCAATGCAGAGGACACGGGTTCAAGCCCTGGTCTGGGAAGATCCCACATGCCGCGGAGCAACTAAGCCCATGTGCCACAACTACTGAGCCTGCGCTCTAAAACCCGTGAGCCACAACTACTGAGCCTATGTGCCACAACTACTGAAGCCTGTGCACCTAGAGCCGGTGCTGTGCAATAAGAGAAGCCACTGCAATGAGAAGCCCACGCACCGCAATGAAGAGTAGACCCCGCTCACTGCAACTAGAGAAAGCCCACACGCAGCAATGAAGACCCAACGTAGCCAAAAACAAATTTAAAAAAAGAAAAGAAAAGAAGCTTCCAATCAATAACTCACCCGAGCTCTCAGAGCCACTTGAAGTGTTGGAAGTTGGACTCTACCCAGGCCTGTCAGATCCCAGAAGTAACACAGCAATTGAGTATAAATGGCTGCTGGAAATGTTTCATAGGTAGGAGACTAAGCCATTTTATATCTTGTCGACTCGTAAGCATTCCATTTTCACAGTTCGTATAAAAGTCAAATTCAATACTGTTGCACCAAACTTTAACAAATTTAACTGAGCAGGGTCCAGTCAATGAGCTTTCATCACGGCATTATTATTGACTGGAGCTTGTGGATGTAGAAAGTTAGATGTGACTGGAACCTGTACCTTGGCAAAGTATTTTTAATCACTTAAGTCCAGTGTTTTCAATGTTTCACTGCTACCCTTTGTTCCTGTTGTAATACCTGTACATCACTTGTACTATTATTTACTTAAAACTGATTCATTGTTTTTACTTCATGTTTTAAAGGAAAATAATATAATTACTATAAATAAAGAACCACAAATTCATTCAATAAATATTTATGAAGTGCCTACCATGCACTAAGCAGTGGGGATAGAGCAGTGAAAGATACACCAAAAAGAATCCCTGCCCTCACGGAGCTAGTGTTCCAGTAGGGGTGATAATCAGCAAGATAAATAAGTAAAATACATAGGACATTAGAGAATGGTCAGGGCTGAGGGGGAAAGGGGAGGGCATACTTGGTGCCAGTGGGGGAGAGTTAAAACTGTACATAGAGGGGCTAGGGAAGGTCTCATTGAGAAAGCTTCATTTGCTCAAGGTGACTTTGGAGGAAACACTAAACAGGACCAGCCCTGTGGAAATCCAAGAGAAAGGCAATCTAGGGAGCAGGAACAGACAGTGCCAAGCCCTGAGGAATGAGTGTGCCCGGGGTTTTCAAGGAACAATAAGGAGGTCATAGGCAGAAGCAAGACTAAATAGTAGGCTACTGAAAAATCCAGGCAAGGGATGACGGTGGCCTGGACCAGAGTGATGAGCAATGGTCAGATTCTGGAAATAGTATGAAGGCAGAGCCAACATTTGCTGATGGACCAGGTAAGGGTGTAAGGGAAGAAGAATCAAGGAAAACCCTAAAACTTCTGGCTAAGCAAGCAACTTGAAGGATGGTGTCCAATATATTTCTTTGTTTCTTTCCTTACCCCACCTCTCCGTAGGTCTTCCCCTGCCCCCACCCCTGGATTTGGATTTCTGTCACTTGCATCACAGCCTCCCCACTCAATGGAAGAAATTTAGAAAGCGCTGGTATTCAAAAAAACACAGATTTAATGCTGCTTGTAGTTCTGCTTTATCTAAAGTCTGTATATGCTACACAGTTCTACAATTCTGCAATCTTGAAATGATTACAGTGGGAAAATTATTCTATTTTTCAGGGATCCAGCAGATACATTTCAGAAGACAGAAATTCCATATATTGTAAATATATTGAACATACTTTGAATATTATAAATATACTGAAATTCTGTTCAGTGTAATTCTGGTATGTAGATTGGTTGGCTGGGGACTAAGGGACACAAGCTTTCTTAAAAAAAAGAAGCATTGCTGGCTCTTTAGGCTATAAACAGACCTATACTTGATAAACTATGTGCCCCTTTTGTCAATGAATTAATGTAATTGTTTAGCATCATAGGCTCAAACTTTCACTCATTTCACTTTTTCTGGCTTATTCACTTATTAGTTCAAGGAGAAAACAGACTAAATAGAGAAAAAAACATACAAGAAATGAATAATAGTTTCATGGATGGGCCAGGACATTAAATAAGAAAATCAAGGTACTCTGATTTCATCTGAAACACTGGCCTGTTACCTTAGTATCAAAATAACTGTGGTATTTGAGTTTAGAGCCAATATTCTAGTCTCTGTACAAAAATAATGCCTTTCTTTGGCACTGATAGATCATTAAGCATGCATCTCAACAGTTTCAACATAAAAAATAGCTTACTCTCTTTGTCAGCAAATAACCTGCATTGCCTTCAATTAGACAAATTAACTTATATCTCTATCCTAAACTATATCCAGTACCCTACATCCATTCATCCTAGAAATCATAAGTTTTGGATATGAATTATGTTTATTTTTGTATTGGATTGTGCAACAAACTGAACATTTAAAATATGATAAAGAAAAGGACTCCCATGTAACTACCACAAATAGATAACCCTGGCGGTCCAGTGCTTAGGACTCTGTGCTTTCACTACGAGGGTGAGGGTTCAATTCCTGGTTGGGGAACTAAGATCCCGCAAGTCGAGCATTGCAGGGAAAAAAAAAGATAAAGAAAAAGACTCTCATGTAACTACCACAAAATAGATAACTGAAAGTTCAAGGTTGGTTTCTCCACTGGGCCGCACACCTGCCTGTTCAGCGGCTCCTGGACTCCATGAGTGCCAAATCGAACATGTATTTTGCCTCAAACCGCCCATATTCCCGTGCTCTGTACAGCAATTAGTGACACCTCCATCCACCTAGTCAACCAAGTTAAAAACCTGAGTCATTTCTGACCCTCTCTGTCCTTTCCTTCCTATATCCGACTGCTTGCCAGGTACTGCCTATGGAACAGCTTCCAGACCGACTTCCCTGCATCTAAACTCTCCCTTCTTCACCCCACTGCCAGAATTCTCTTCTTAAAGCTCAGATATATGTTACTACTTGCTCAAGAACCTTACACTTTTTCTCCCATTTCCTATGGTTAGTCTAACTCCCTAGGATAACACCCAAGGCTTTCCATAATGTGGCCCACTCCCCCACTGCTTCTGGTTTTGAAGATGCCCAGGATTTAACTTATATTGGTCACTGAGTGATGACACAGAGTGGTCAGTGCCACTGAAAGAAGTTTTATTGCTCCCAAGGGAAGGGGGCACATCATGCCATGCAGGGCCACACAGGTAAGTACCAGGGTCAGTCAGAAGGCACAAGGAGCAAGGGGAGAATATGGCCCAGAACCTTTACTGTGGTTTCTGTGGGAAGAAATGGGTGAGGCAGAGTAGGCAAGTCTGAACAAACTTAGGATTGGTTAGTTTGAATAAGGTTGGTCTCTTAGTTGTCCAGTTCTTGGCCCTGGGGTGATTTAGGGCAGGGGAAATATTGGCTTGGTATGTGGGAGTTAGATAAAGGAAGTGGTTGGGATATGGTTTGGATCAGTTGCTTTGTACATGGCAGGCAGGTTCATAGGCAAGTTGTTTGTTACTCTAGGAATTAGCTCACCCTGGGAGGAACAGTTCCCTCGGGGCTGCAAGGCCCCAAGATGTCAGAGCATCATAAAATACACAACATAAAAAACATGGTTAACACACATTCCTTTCCTAGGAACCCTCTGCTCACAGCTCTAGTCGCCCCAGAAAATGTCCTTCTTTACGAAATAAGTTCTGTAGTGCCTCTCTCAACACTCTGCCACCACCCATGCCCCTGAGCCCCCAAGTCTGGTACCTATAACATGACCCCTTCCCTGTCCCTGTGGCACTGACACAGGCACCCAATCTACAGAGTGGCTGGCCGCCTATGACCAACGTGCCTGCCTCAAAGAGATGAACTGGGCCGATCAGATTTCTTCTTCTAAGGATTTAAAATAAAAGCCACAAAAGGAGATGGCCACTTGATGTTAAGGTGAACCGGGGGGCCCTGAAGTAGACTCAGGGCCTTTGCAAGCCACGTGTGCTGTGCTCCACCCTTCCTGCCACTCTACACCTCCTCCAAAATACTACAAATAGTCCATAATAACTATCTGGAGCTAGTGCTAGAGTTTTGTTTTGTTTTGAATGTTTCTTTCAAGTACCAAGATTAACAGATATTCACAGAGACTGACAAACTGTAGTAAACAGGTCAGAACGGATCAAGCCTGGGAGAGAGGGCGCAATGATATCTTTTTTTAAGCCCCCAAACGTGTTGCAAAGTGTTTTAAATTTCATATAAAAGTTTAAAGGATCACATAAAGACAATCCAGTGCAAATGCATCTTGCAGTTTCAAAGGCATTTCCAGCTGCTTTTTAAAGTTCTCACACTGGGCTACAGAGCTGCAAATCTTCAGGCGGATCCACCTACTGCTCCCCCTCCCTTGGGTAGCGCTGAACCAAATCCGCAGACTTTGTCGATTGCTTCTGCCTGGGCAGATCCGCCTGGATCGACTGCTCTTGTCTGGCCCGTCCCCGGGCGCGGTAAAAGCGTTTGAATCCAGCCGGGTGGCCGCAGCGACATCCTCAACCCTCACAATCCTGACCGGCCTCAGCCGCCTCCTCTTTCTTTTACATCCCTGACTCTCCCGAATCACAAGAGTGGAAACGGAGAAGCTCAAGCCGCCGCCATGTCCGAGGCTTATTTCCGGGTGGAGTCGGGTGCGCTGGGGCCTGAGGAGAACTTTCTTTCCTTGGACGACATCCTGATGTCCCACGAGAAGCTCCCGGTGCGCACAGAGATGCCTATGCCGCGCCTCGGCACTTTCTTCCTAGACCGGAGCGGAGGGTCCGAGGCTGACAACGCAATCCCTCAGGTAAGCGATCTGGCCCGGAAAGACTACAACTTCCTATAGGCCTTGCGGGCTTGGGGGGCGCCGCGTCGCCGGGCGCGCTGCCCTCTGGGATCTGTAGTTTTAGGGGGAGGCAGGGCCGTGCGTTAAGGAGTCTTGTCCGCTGGTCCCCCGCAGACCTAGCCTTCAACACCCCTACAGAAACTAAATTTATACTGGGTCGTCAGGCTCCCTGCAACACGGATTTCATTTTTGAAACTACCCATATTCAGCAGTGTCTTTTCACCCCTACATGTGTTGATGCTTCAAGGATCGGCGCCTACGGAATACTTGAGGACCAGGGTTCTGATCACTTTTGCCTTAGAACACAACAGTTTGGGGTTGTATAGAGTGGATGATGTCTGGGAACCGCAGATTGCTAGATTCATTCCTGCATAATGAAGACGGTATCAGCAACCATTTCCTGAGGGCTTTAGTGCAGGCATGGATGGGGTGGGGGGAGTATACTTTTCCATCTATTACCCCTTTAGTCCTTCAACAACCCTATAGTTAGGTGTTGTTATATATAAGGAAATTGAAGCCCAGAAAGTTTGGGCCAGGGTCTCATTGTAAGTGGTGAGCTGGGATTCGAACCTAGGACTGCAGGACTTCAAATTCGAGTTTGTCCCAGGAACATGGCTTGTAATGGTTATTTTTTATTTCCTATTTAACCTAAGTTTTGTTTAGAAGGGTGCTTTTGTTTGGTCTGTTTTGAGTTAATTTTTATCAAAGGAAGGCATATGCAGAGTTTAAAAAGTTAAATGGTACCGAAAGATTTATAACAAAAAGTAGCAGGTTCTGCCTTGCTTCTCTCATGCCCCTTTCCATTTCCACGGGGTCTGTCTACTTTTTTCACAGTTTCTTCAAAATTCACCTCCGTATTTCTAAATAATGTTCTTAAATTTATCTTGATTTTTTTGTTTGTTTGTTTGTTTTCGCGGTGCACGGGCCTCTCACCGCTGTGGCCTCTCCCACCGCGGAGCACAGTCTCCGGACGCGCAGGCTCAGCGGCCATGGCTCACGGGTCCAGCCTCTCCGCGGCATGTGGGATCCTCCCGGACCGGGGCACGAACCCGCGTCGCCTGCATCGGCAGGCGGACCCCTAACCACTGTGCCACCAGGGAAGCCCCTTAAATTTATCTTGATTTAAAAAAAAATTTTAGACATTATTTATTGACTTTCCATTATAGTAGTTAAGGATTTAGTTCTCTTACACACTGATGTACAGCTGTATCGTCCATATTTTATTCATATTTCCTTCGTTTTTACTTAATGTCCTTTTTCTGTTCCAGGATCCCATCCAGGACACCAAATTGCATTTAGTAATCATGTGTCCTTAGGCTCCTCTTGGCTTTGACAGTTTATCAGACTTTCCTTGTTTTTAATGACCATGAATTTTGTGGAGTGCTGGCCAGGTATTTTGTTGAGAATGTTCCTCATTTGGGATTTGTCTGATGGTTTTCTTGGGATTAGACTGTGTTTTGAGGAGGAAGACCACAGAGGTAAAAGTGCCGTTTCTACCACATCGTATCAAGGGTACATGCCATCAGCATGACTTATGTTGATAGATACCTTGATCACTTGATCGAGGTGGGGTTTGTCAGGATTCTTCTCTATAAAGTTACTCTTTTTTTCCACCTTTTTTCTCTCTGGAAGGAAGTCATTATGTGCAGCCGTACTTAAGGAGTGGTGAGTTATGCTCCACTTCTTTGAGGGCACAGTGTCTGCATAAATTATTTGGGATTCTTCTGCGTGGGAGATTTGTGTGGAAGGTTTTTAATGACATTTAATTTCATTCATAGACACAGAACTATCAGATTTTCTTTTCTTGTGTTAGTCTTGGTACCTTGTTTTTTCCCCCTAGGAATTTGACTATTTCATCTAAATTTTCCAATATAGTGTTATAATGTTCAAATATCCTTTTACTATCTTTTAAACATCTGTACAATTATAGCTGTGTCCTGATTTTTATTCTTTTTAAAAAATAAATATATTTATTTATTTATTTTGGCTGTGTTGGGTTTTTGTTGCCGCACGCCAGCTTTCTCTAGTTGTGGCGAGTGGAGGCTACTCTTCATTGCGGTGCGTGGGCTTCTTATTGCGGTGGCTTCTCTTGTTGAGGAGCACAGGCTCTAGGTGCGCAGGCTTCAGTAGTTGTGGTGTGCAGGCTCAGTAATTGTGGCACGCGGGCTTAGTTGCTTCGTGGCATGTGGGATCTTACCGGACCAGGACTCGATCCCATGTCCCCCTGCATTGGCAGGCAGATTCTTAACCACTGTGCCACCAGGGAAGTCCCCTGATTTTTATTCTTGATATGGAGAAATTATGATGTCTTTCTTAATTAGTCTTACTAGGAGTTTATCACTTGTGTTAGTCTTTTCAAAGAACTAGGTAATGGCTCTGTCAACTTTCTCATTTGTACTTTTATTTTTAGGTCGTTAAATTCTTATCTTAATTGGTTCTTTCCTTCTACTTTCTTCAGACTTGATTTTCTTTGTTCTCTTCCACCCAGTCACATTTTGAGATGGGTACCTAGGTTATTGATTTTTCAACTTTCCTTTTTACATTTTTAGCTGTGCATTTCCTCTTGCTTTAACTAGATTTCACAAGTTTTAATTTGATTTTCTGATTTCCATTGTGAATTCTTCTTTGACTCATGGATTATTTGTAAGACTGGTGCTTAGGTCCAAACATTTGGGGATTTTCCTATGTACACTTTTGGGTTTTGATTTCTGGCTTAGTTACACAGTGGCAGAGAACATAGTCTGAATGATTTCAGTTTTTTGAGGGTTAACGCTTGCTTTAAACCCCAGCATAAGATCAATTTAACCCTTCTATATATGCTTGAAAAGCTCTATATTGTGAAGTAATGGTCTGCAGTACATAATTTATATCTGTAAATTAGGTCAAGTTTGTTATTTGTTTTGTTGAGATCGTCTATATTCTTACAGTTTTTCTGTGTTCGCTACTTCTCATTTATCTAAAGAGATATGTTAATGTCTCCCACAATGATTATAGGTTTGTCAGTTGCTCTTTTTAATTCTGTTAATTTAGATAGTATTTATATTCTTCTTGTGGGTTTAATGACCTTTTTATTATTGTCACATGTCCCTCTTTATCTCTAGTAATGCTTCTTTCTTTTGATTACTGTTTGCATAACTTTTTTCCATCCTTCTATTTTCAACCTTTATATGTCTTTCTATTTATATTTACAGTATGACTCTTTTAAGCGGCATATAGTTGGGGTTTTTTTGTTTGATTTGACAATTTTTTATTGGTATATTTAATGTATTTACATTTTATTTAATTATTGATTTATTTGTGTTTATTTTTACCTTCCTACTATTTTCTTTGTGTTCCATCTGTTTTAGTTTCCTTTTTCTTTTTTGGCTTCTTGTGTATTAATCAACTTTTTGTTTTCCATTTTCCTTTTTATTATTTATTCTTCTGTTATTTTAGTGGCTACCTTAAATATTACACAATCATTTTTGAGTACCAAGAATGTTATATGAATTACTACTTTCATCACTTCACAGTCAGTGCTAGAATCTAAGAACATTTTTTTTTTTTTTTTGCAGTACGCGGGCCTCTCACTGTTATGGCCTCTCCCGTTGCGGAGCACAGGCTCCGGACGCGCAGGCTCAGCGGCCATGGCTCACGGGCCTAGCAGCTCCGCGGCATGTGGGATCCTCCCGGACCGGGGCACGAACCCGTGTCCCTGCATCGGCAGGCAGACTCTCAACCACTGTGCCACCAGGGAAACCCTAAGGACATTTTAACTCCATTTTCTCCCTCCTTTCTTTTATGTTATTGTTGTACTGTAATTTGACTCATGTTAAATCCTATAAAACATTATTGTCATTTATTGTTATTTTTATATTTACACACTTATTTACTCTTTCCATTACTCTTATTTTTCTTCCTTCCTACATTTCCATATTTCTCGCTGGGATCATTTTCATTCTCCCTTCTTGATTTCTTTACTCTGGGTCTTCTAGTGATAGATTCTCCATTTCTGTCTGTACAAGGGGTACTGAAGACCAACATTGGGTTCGATGATTCACTAAGAGGACCCACAGGACTCATCAGATAGTCATGCTTGTGTTTAAAGTTTAATACAGTAAAAGGATAAGAGCAAAATCAGCAAAGGGAAAGGGTGCATGAGATGAAGTTTGCAGGAAGCTAGACACAAGTTTCCAAGAGTCCTGTCCCAGTGGAGTCATGTAGGACACACTTAATTCCAATAATGAACTGTGACAACATGTGTGAAATATTGTCTACCAGGGAAGCTCATTAGAGACTCAGTACCCAAGTTTTTACTGGGGGAAGTTTACATAGGCACTCTCTACCTAGCACATACCAAGATTCCAGACTCCAAGAAGGAAAGCAGGGGTTCAGCATAAGCCACATTGTTTGTACAAACAGTGTAGGCGTGGGCTTCCCTAGTGGCGCAGTGGTTGAGAGTCCACCTGCCGATGCAGGGGACACGGGTTCGTGCCCCGGTCCGGGAAGATCCCACGTGCCGCGGAGCGGCTGGGCCCGTGAGCCATGGCCGCTGAGCCTGCGCGTCCAGAGGCTGTGCTCTGCAACGGGAGAGGCCACAACAGTGAGAGGCCCGTGTACTGCAAAAACAACAACAACAACAAAAAAAACAAAAGCAGTGTAGGCGCATTGAGGCACTCTTATCAGTCCCAGGAATGGTGGGAACTCTCCTGAAACCCAAATTCCCAGATACCAGCCAAGGTCTTCCTTACAAGCAGGCCTTTCTAAGGAGAGCAGCCTCAGGCTGCTGTGTTAACTTTTTAGTGCACACTTTCTGTCTGGAAATGCCTTTATTTCACCTTTGCTTTTAAAGGATATTTTCACTCGGTATAGAATTTTAGTAGGCAGTTATTTTCTGCCAGCACTTTGTAGTCGGCTTTAACTCTTATTGTTTCTTCTTCAAAGGCAATATATTCCTGACCTCTACTAATAGCTGCTTTTGTCTCTGTCTTTGTTTTTCAGCAATTTGAGTAAGATGTGCCTCGTTGAAGTCTTATTAATATTTATTCTTCTTGGTATTCATAATGTTCCTTGAATCTGTGATTTTATATTCCTTTTAATTTTGGAAAATTCGTGGCCATTATCTCCAGATATTTCTTTTGCCTCAATCTATCCCTCCTCCCCTTCTGGGATTCAAATTACATGTATGTTAGACTTTTTTTTTTTTTTTTTTTTTTTAACCATATTCCATATGCCTCTTAGGCTCTTTTCTGTATTTTCTCTCCATGCTTTAGTCTGGTTATTTTCTACTGATCTTTTTTCCAATTCATGATCCTCACTTCATCTATGTTATATCTGGTAAAACTGTTAAATTTGACTTAATCTAGTGAGTTCTTAAGGTCAATTATTGCATTTTTCAGCTCTGGAATTTCCATTTGATTTTTTATTTATTTTAAAGTCAGAGCCTAATTATTGTTGATATTTAGTGCCAAATATTGGACTTTACTTTTCTCTCTTCTTTCTTGGATCTTGACCCCTCATGCCCTGGCTGCTTGGGCAGCTTTGAACCAAATATTTTTCTCCCCAGCCCTGTGAAGTTTACCAAAAGCTCTGCTCACCCACCCCTCAAAGCCACCCCCACCTTTAACAGCAATTCTCCTCTGTGAGAGTTTGTGCCTTTGTTGCCTCCTTAACCCAGTTACGCTTGCCTTTTTTTTTTTTTTTTTTTTTTTTGATGTTTCTCTTAACTTCTTGCGTTCAAGATTATGAAATTTTTGCTGTGGGCCCTGCCCTGCCTTCTCCTCCTCCTGTTCACCCTGGTGGTGTGTGGGTGAGGTTCCGGGGGGGGGGACCCACAAATATATATCAGCCCAACAGCCCTAAGTCTCTTCCTTTATTATTAGGAAACAAAACAACACCAACAAAAAGTGGCATCATGAGTGTGAACAGCACTGTCAGATGAGTTAGTTGAAGTTTTTTTTTGTACTGTGTCCTCAAATTTAATGGATTAATGTGTCTTGTATATATAAAAAGAAAACCTCTAAAAAAACAGTCAGAGAAAGACAAATATGGTATGATTTTACTTATATGTGGAGTCTAAAAAACAAAACAGGTGAACAAACATAACAAGGTGGAAACAGCCTCGCAGATACAGAGAACAAACCAGTAGATGGTTGTTAGAGGTGAGGGAGGGGCAGGAGGAGCGAAATAGGTGAGGGAGATCAAAAGGTACAAACTTAATTACAAAATAAATGAGGCACAGGGATAAAGTGTTGTTTTTAAAAAGTGGAGCCCATATGATCTTAATGGAGAACGTTTTTCAGATTCTCATTGGGATATTAAAATGCTAGCTAAATTTCTAGCTGTTTTATATAGAGCTGATTGCTTCAATTTGTGGCTTCTGCAAATTTTTAACTGACTGTTTTTAGGAGTATAAATGTTACTTTTTTGCAGACCTTTGAGGTAAAAACAGGCCCTTGCATATGCTATTCTTATCTATGTTCATTTTAATGTTTCTGCAGCTTGGACTGCAGAAACTGCTTGCATCGCGGCCACCTCATCTATTTACTAATTCTGTTAAGGCTTTAAAAAATAGAGACATTTACCTTTTCTGTCATCTTTAAAGCTGTGTAGTGGGCTGGGGAGGGGCTGTAGCCTGAGCTCAGGCTGACCCTATTTTTCTTTATATTCCCCAGCACCTAGAGAGGTGCTTGGCACATAGTAGGTAGTCAGTCAGTGCATATGTGGAATAGATGTTGAATCTTCAAAGAAAGTAGAAATGTTTACTATATCTCTGAAGTATCTGCAATTGGACAGTTTTTATTTATGTTAGTTAGAAAACTTTCCCTTTGTGCCACATTTTTGTTCTCAACTTTGTTTTTGGTATATAAATCCTTTTTCTCTCTCCATTCCATCATGACATAAAACTTCAGCCCACACAGTTCATTTCTTCAAGTCACAGCTATATCTTCTGTATTTGACAGTTACGCCCCTAAAGAGAACAGGCGGTATTGATATTCCCTCAGGCCATGTGCATTTCGTTTTTGTCACACACATTTCCTACTATGTTACTTGTTTTTAAAACCTACAATCCTGTGCGATACAGGGCTCAAAGCTTGAACTCCCCTTGTGGCTGGCAAAAGGACTTTTTGACAACAAGCGCCGGATCCTTTCTGTGGAACTTCCCAAGATCTACCAGGAGGGTTGGAGGACCGTGTTCAGTGCAGATGCCAACGTGGTGGACCTCCACAAAATGGGGCCACATTTCTACGGGTTCGGCTCCCAACTCCTACATTTTGACAGTCCAGAGAACACAGACATCTCCCAGTCTCTCCTGCAGGCAAGTTATTGACGTGAAAACCTATGGCCTTGCACATGTCTCAGGAGCCAGCTGTGGCAGCCACCAGATGTTACTCTTACCCGGGGAGTGTATGATTTATACAATCAGTTTCTTGTTATTCCGGGTCAGCCTACAATTAGACTGTCTTTGCTGATTATATATACATGTAACTGTGGCTTGTCTGTTGCTCTTCATATTTGCTTGCTACAAGTTGGGACCAACAGGAAGTCCTGGAAATAAGATACTTGATTACAGGTGGCAGAGGAGATGCAGACCTCCTTCTAAGTCCTAAACCAGAGTCTTGCCTTTCGTGCCATTTAAATGTTCAGGGATTAAAATGTATCTGATTTCTCTCTCTCGCTTCTTCAGACGTTTGTTGGACGTTTCCGCCGCATCATGGACTCCTCCCAGAATGCTTACAACGAAGACACTTCGGCGCTGGTAGCCAGGCTAGATGAGATGGAGAGAGGCTTATTTCAAACAGGGCAGAAAGGACTGAATGACTTTCAGTATTGGGAGAAGGGTCAGGCCTCTCAGATCACAGCTTCCAACCTGGTTCAGAACTACACGAAGAGAAAATTCACTGACATGGAAGACTGAAGGCCAGAAGAACACAGAATTGCTCCCTGTAGACTTATCCCTCTGTGTGTCCTTGATAGGAGCCTAGTTGACCTTGTATAGGGCCAGAATCATGTCCCATCTTGTGACTTATTCCCTGCAGCACTGTCGGGAGTGCTACCATCTGGTGGGGAAACAACATGCTGGAGGATGTCCCTGGCCCTGTAAGTCTTCCAGGACTATCCCACCTGCTGACCCACAGACCAGACCTACTTAGCCCAGGAACCCACAGCCAAGGAGAAACCAAAGTCCTTCATAAATAAGGATCATGAATACATATATCGCAATAGAGTTGGAACTGGGATTCCTCGTGCCTGGGAGTTTGGACAGCCTTAGATATCCAGTTTCACTAGCTCCAAAGGACGGGTGCAAATGGGCCTTCCTAACCTGTTCACAAAACGTCCTCTTGAGCTTATTTGCCTCATCTTCCTCATGGTTGCACAAAGGACAGTACCCCCAGGATGCTGGCTCTACTTGTAAATATCTCCTGCCACCTGCCTATGGGGAGTTACCCAGTTTCAAAAAACAGTTGCCAAGAATAAGGAAGGAGGGTTTCCCTGGTGGCGCAGTGGTTGAGAGTCCGCCTGCCGATGCAGGGGACACGGGTTCATGCCTTGGTCTGGGAAGATCCCACATGCCGTGCGGCGGCTAGGCCCGTGAGCCATGGCCGCTGAGCCTGCGCATCCGGAGCCTGTGCTCCGCAACAGGAGAGGCCACAACAGTGAGAGGCCCGCGTACCGCAAAAAAAAAAAAAAAAGAATAAGGAAGGAAAAGGGAAAGCCCCGTGAGTGGCAAGGGTTTTACTAAAGAGAAAACATTGCTTTCCTCTTCTTTGAGGAGGGCTTCATGAACTGGACTTCACGCCTAAGCGGGAAATGGTTAAACTGAGCTTGTTTTGCCTCTAGATCTTTAGAGCGCCTGCACAGTTATTCCATGCTCTCCCTAGGAAAGCTGTCAGGGAGTTGTTTGGAATTGCAAAGTACTTGTTAAAGGGTGTTAACCAGCCCTTATTACATTGAAATCAGGGCTTCAGGGTTGCTAGTTATGAAGAGCCCTGTTTGAGAAGCTTAGCATGGCAGATGTGAGTGGGCAAGAGACCTCGGTCATGGTTTTTTTCTCTTCAGTAAGTTTTGCAATATTATTATATAACAGATTCCTGACCAGTTACTGAGACTCTGTTTAAGCAACCACAAAACACATTCCCTGGAGATCAAGGAGGAAACCTCAGGCAGAGTAGGAAACAGCATCCCTGGACTTTTTGAAGGGCAGTTATCACCACACCATGGCTCCCCTTCCAACTTCCCACAACTAGTAAAAATTGCCTTTGTCACTGGAAATTACAGTGGGATTTGGGTCTCCAGATTGTACAGATGTCTTGATGCAAACTTAGAATATCAGAAATATTTTTTAAATGCCTGTTTTAAGATGGAGCTGATGTTTTTATAATTTGATTTTGGTGCTAAATAAATGATCCACTTTGCACATGAATACATTCTGTACATGTACTATTTCTGTAACTCGAGTACTACAGATGATCAGGCAAAGCTATCGGAGAATTTTGTCTTTGATAGTATTTGACAATAATGTCCCAATAAATCCATGTTTTAGCAACTGCTCTTTTGTTTGCACAATACTCATAAACATGGGGGACATTTTCCATAGGGACGAGCTGTGTCCTTGAAAAGAGGGACTTCCTTTGCTGTCACAGCATTTACATATAGCCAGGGGCCCAGAGATAATTCATAGTCAGTGAGAAAAGCATATTTTTTAATTTTTGGATTCACAGACAGCTTTGTTTTTAAAGTCAATCCTAAGGCTGCTGCCGTTTTTTTTTTTATTAAAAAAAATTTGGCTCAGAGGCACATACCAAGAATATGTGGGTATGCACGTGTAGGATTTATTCCATTTTAAATTTTGAACAAATTATATTACAGGGAGCTTCCGAAGCCCATCTCCAATTACAGATTTGCCTTCGAGGCTGTCAGTTACTAACCCTCTCCCCAGCAACCTTCCCCCAAATCAGTCTCTTGGTCCCTTCAAAGAAGTGAAATTTTCAAAATAAGTCAACAAATTGGCTCAGCTACCATATCACGCTTAAAAAATAAGGGGGAATGTGTGCTCTTTCCCCTTAAAGGCTCTGTTCCCAGGTAACTCTGGTCTTAATTACATACAAAAGACCTCACTGTCTTCAGGCTTTTTCCCTGTGGTACAAGTTGGGCTGCCGAGAGGAAGGGCCAAGGCTTTGGTTTCCCAGGTCATTCCTCCCGCCCTCCTGACCTCTGCGTTTTGGATGGCTCCGTGGTCAGTCCTCGGATCTCTTCTAGCCATTCTGACTCCCTCCAGTGTCAAGTTTTAAATACCACCATCTATACGTTGGTGACTCCCAAATTCCATCTCCAGCCAGACCTCCCTTCAACTCCAGACTTGCAGCCAACCACCTGCTTGACATTCCACTTTAACATCTGATCCCACATGGCTGAAACTGAGGCCCTAATCTTACTCTCACAGTCTCCTCCTATCATCTTTCTCATCACTGTTTTTGACAACTACATCCTTCCCTACTGCTCAGGACAGAAACATAGGAGTCCTCCTTGGCTGTCTTTCTCTTATACCTTTTGGGTCAACCTTCAAGTCATTGGCAGAACCTGCCTGCCTCTTCCCCACCTCCACTCCTGTCCGGGATGGTTGAGGTCACCTCCCAACTCCTTCCCTGCATTCATTCACCCTTCCCCGCCTTCAGACTCTTCTCACCAGAGCGGCAACAGTGGTCTTGTTCAAAAATAAATCAGATCTTATTACTTCTCTGCTTAAAACACTCCCTTGTCAGAAAAAGGCCCCTGTGCCATACCAGCACCATTTGTTAAAAAGCCCATCTTTACCCCGGTGATTTGGTATTGAATTTTCTTCCTGCTTCCATAGCAGAAGCAATTTGTTCCTTATTTTAAGCAAAACTTTCACCTTCTGCCTAAGAGATTTCTGAACATTTTATAGAGCTTCTTGTTAATCTCTGAGCACCGCTGGACCTGAGGAGTTTCTGGACTACTGTGTCTGAGGTAGTGAAATTGGAATGCAGAAATATTGAGCAGCTCACTCAAGTTCATACAGCAGTGAAGTCTTTCTGTTCCACCAGCCTTCAAGAAATTCCAGGAGAGCTTTTCATCTTTACGCCATCTGGGACAATGGTGTTTAAGTGAAAATATACTATTTTACACCGATCTTGGCAAAAGAAAATAATTGCAGAGGCCGTACGTACATTTCTGAAAGTAGGTATCTTTGTGTTCAAGAGAAAAATCTATACTTGAAGTAACTTGTGGCACAAAATATAGGATAGATGCTTAAACTATAAGAATTACTCCAAGAACCTTAATTTCAACAGTCCTTATCTAATATAGGTAAAATGAAAATATTGATTACACATAGAAACATTTATTTATACATCTTTATTGGATGTATTTATAAATAAATACATATTTATTGCTTTACAATGGTGTGTTAGTTTCTGCTTTATAACAAAGTGAATCGGTTATACATATACGTATCTCCTCCTGCATCTCGCTCCTTCCCACCCTCCCTATCCCACCCCTCCAGGTGGTCACAAAGCACCGAGCTGCCCTCCCTGTGCTATGCGGCTGCCTCCCAGCCTCCCACTAGCTGTCTTACGCTTGGTAGTGTATATATGTCCATGCCACTCTCTCGCCTCCTCACAGCTTACCCTTCCCCCTCCGCATATCCTCAAGTCCATTCTCTAGTAGGTCTGTGTCTTTATTTCTGTCTTACCATAGAAACAATTTTTAAAAGACAACTAAATGCCCTGAATCTAAAGAAAAGTGCCTAAAATTTGGAATTCTCTTGCTAACTCTTGATAGTGGCATTTTGAATGAACAATAAATCTCCCATCATTAATGAGTAGTGAATAAAATGTATAGTGAATCAAGGGCAAGTCTGAGAAAATACAGTTACACTCTTCCGAGAGCAAATGATTAACACATGTGACAGGCCCAGCGTGCTTTTGTTTGAGATCGTTTTGTTGATTTTTCCAGGCTTCTGCCTTTCTGCCTCGCTAATCAAAGGAGACACAGTACAATCAGACACAGTCAGACGCGGCTTGCTTTCCAAGCAGCCTTCCTCTAGGACACGAGACAAGCATTCTCCTTCCTGGGTGTGCTCTCCTGTTGCCCGCGTTGTGGTCTAAAGCAGCGGTCCCCAACATTTTTGGCACCAGGGACCGGTTTCACAGAAGACCATTTTTCCACAGACGGGGTGGGGGTAGGGTTGCAGGCGGTAATGCGAGCGATGGGTAGCAGCTGTAAATACAGATGAAGCTTCGCTCTCTTGCCCGCCGCTCACCTCCTGCTGTGTGGCCCGCTTCCTAACAGGACCAGTACTGGTCTGCCCAGGGGTTGGGAACCCCTGGTCTAAAGGGAGGAGGCCACGCCCAGAAGCCAGAGGCCTCCTCCTATGTGTCAGAGATCAGAGTGAAGTCCCCTCAAGGGGCATCATTTCGTTAAACTTTTTTATTTGGAAATAATTTCAGATTTATAGAATAGTTGTAAAGATAGTACAGAGTTCCCCTATATCCTTCACCCAGCTTTCCCTAATGTCTTATGTAATCATGGTACGTTTATCAAGTATTACTAACTAAGCCACAGGCTTTAGTCAGATTTCACCAGATTTTCCACTAATGTCCTTTTATTGTTCCAGAGTCCAATCCAAAGTTCTGCGTTGCATTTAGGGAGCAATAATTTTTTAGAGCAATTTGGGGAGGCAAGACAGCATTAGATTCTTCCCTATATTCATTTCAGAAGGTAGGCTTATTGGAAAGGCGTCGTTGCATTGGGCTGCATAACGGGCCAACTAGGGGCCTAGTAGGGCTTGCATAGGAGCAAGCTGCTGGTGAGCTAGTAAGAAGGGACAGAGTTATTTGCTTTTCACCTGAAATTTTCACTTTTCCCCCAGTTCTTGCATCTGTTGGGAAAAGGCCT